GCTTCGGTCTCCAGCCCGCCTCCGAACGGCCTCTCCGATCGAAAGGCCTGGCTAAACACCGCTTCGACTCTGACCTGCGTCTCCGACCGAGGATGCACCAAACCCCTGCTCACTGCTCTTCTCCAACTAGCGCAGTCAGAGCCGATTAGGACCAACCGACCAGGGACGCCCGCTCGGAAAGGACCAGGAAACGGATGGAGAAAGTAAGGCAGGGTGCACAAGTCAAACCACAATACCAGGGACCATACCCTGTGCACCTACCATACAGTACCCTACGACCTCCCTGGCATGATAGAACCCAAGCAGTGTTGTAGGCGCCAACATTTTCCCCTACAGTGTTGTGGGCGCCATCAACTCCCATACCAGACAAATACGATAAGGCTCCCCCCTACGTGCCTCTGAGGCATCAACAGTATTGTGGGCGCCGATATTTACCATACTGAGCGAACATGGTAAAATAGTGTGGCATGCAGCGACATCTGCCATACCTGAAGAAGACGACGCAACCTCCCCAGTGCATCTGACATTAAACAGTATTGTGGGTGCCTACCATCATCTTGTACCCACTAGCATGGGCAGCAAGACTTAGCAGCATATGTACTCTCTCCCTCTCACTTGTAAGACCATCCCCTTCATCTATAAAAGAGAATGCGCTCTCTCCATCATAACTCAGTTCATTCAGATCGATCAGTTCACCTACATTGATTCACCCTCCGTAACTCTAGACACTCTAAAGCTATACCAAGCACACACTCGAACACTTAGCACATAGCGGGGCTCCCGTCACTCTCGGCCCTTTAGACCAGAGTCCGACCGGACCTCTTGTACCCCCCATCTTTCTCTTTCTCGTTTATAACCCCACTGCAAACTTCGAGCACCCGGGCTCAGGAATAAAGTTACCGACCAACTCAAACTAGACGTAGGGTACGTTGCCTGAACCAGTATAAACACTGTGTCATTGAGTGCTAGGCCACCTCCGATCACAATGTATGGCAAAACTATAAATATTTACGTGTTGGTCACTTTCTGCACCGACACTATATGCACGTAAAAAAGCTAATGACTTACAACGTGAAATGGAGTGAGTATATATATTAAAAATGATAATGCTACCATTAAGACGTCCAGAAGGCCGAACGTCTCACTCTACTCGCGCCGCTCGCCTAAAAAACAAATCCCCACGACATGTCATCTCCCCCATTCCATTCTCTTGCGTCGCGGCTTTAGGGTGCTGCCCACTCCGGCGCACTGCCACCGCCCGCCATCCCCTGCGTTGCCCCCCATCCCAGCGGCACCTCTGTCTCCCGCGGAGAGGAGGAATCCTCCGCGTGAGGTACGCTGCTAGCCGCCCCACCGACATAGCTGTCGCCGAACCCGGTCGCCGGTGCCTCGCCCTCCGCCTCCAAGCTCCATGCGCGTGCTCGGTGAGTGTAGCGGTGCCTCCGTCCCCCGCGCGTGTTGCCGTGCTTCATCATTCGCCGCATCTAGGCCAGGTGGCCAAGAGAGGGGGCGTCGTTGGCTAGGCCTAGGCCAGGCGTAGGCGCAACTGGTTGCTGCCAGGATGCACCACCATCCTCGGTTGCCAGCTGGCCGGAGCTCTGCGCTGCGTCTTACGGAAGAAGGGTGAAAACGCATGTTACAAGCGTCTGTTTCAAGTGTTTCAAATGTTTCAGAGATATGTTGTAACTGTTTCATACAGATGTTGCAAAGTAGATCGGGATGTTGTACACGTATGTTGCATGCTCCTGTTCTCAATGTTTCACCTGTTTTTTTACGTATGTTGCAAGTGTGTTTATCTGGATGTTGCATATGTTTTCACACATATAATGCAAGTGTTTTATCTGGATGTTGCGTATGTTTACAATGGTTTCAAGTGTTTTTAGATGTTTTTGCAAGTGTTTTAGAAGCATGTTTTAAATGTTTCATTTGTTTTCATTCATGTTGTAATCAGTGCACCTGGATGTTTCAAAACTAGATCGAGTGTTGCATCTCCCTCCTCGCCTTTCCGCTGTCACGCCTCGGTGTCTAGCGCGGAAAGGCGGAGGCAGTCCCCACTGGCACGGGTGGGCCCCACGTGCTTGCGGGCGGGCACGGCAGGCGAGACGTGAGCGGGCAGGCACGAGACGCGAGACGGGGGGGGCAGCAAGCAGCGTCCGTCGACGAGGGCTAGCGTCCATGGGCGAAGCTCAGTTAGAACCAGTGGGTGCCAGGCACCTAGGAAAAAAATCAAAATTCCCTTGTAACTATCAACAGTTCACCTTATGTGCACCCCCCATGGCCAAAATAAGGCACCCCAGCAGGCCAGCAAGCAGCAGCTAGAAAAGATCGAGGCCAAGCCACCTCGTAGTTTCCTTCCAGGAGGAGGAATCGCTTTTCCTCCCAGGTCCTAGCCTCAGCGTTTTGCACTTTCGCTTGCCGCTCGAGTCTCCCGAATAGACACGCCCGCTGCCCGCGGTCGTGAGTCCGCAAGGGCTCTACGCAGTGAGTAGGCAAGTAGCCGAGCGCCCGGCAGCCGTCGGCGCAACCTGGCACGAGGTGGCCGGCGACAGAGATTGATCCAAAATAAAAGGCAAGACATCAACTCATCATGCCCTCGATTATCTAGAATTTGAATCATGCTAAGCCTCAATCTGTTTAGGGTTAGTGTGATTTTTTCTCTCTTTTTTAATATATATTTCTGATAGTATAGAACTGCAATAGTTTTTTTAAGCCATAACTACAATAGTTTAGTCAACATGTTTCCTACAATAGTTGAAGTGCCACAAGTTGTTGAAAAGGATGATAGAGATTGGAAAAATAGAGACCAGGCATCAAATCTTATAGTATATTTCAAATCTTTTGACTTTGCCTTTTATTTGCATTTAATGTTGACTACATTGTAAATGTAGACTCCATTTATATGATCTTAGAAGAGATGGGTGGGAGAAATTATTAAATGAAGTGAATGAGTTTTGTGATATGCATGAAATTGATAGAGTGGATTGCTTTAACGATGTTATTGATTGGCTAGTGTGACAAGCTCTCAATTGCTTGTTTGCTCGGCCGTTTTCAGTCCAAGGGACTCGTTTCATGATTTCAATGTGGAGACTTTGATGAACTTAGCAAAACTATATCCTGATGATTTTAGTATTGAGGACTATCGGTGAGCTCTCTCATCGCTATTGCTAGAAGTCAAATTTTGATGTTAAATTATGGTAGTTATGCATTAATTATCCAATTTTTTAACATCATATGAGTTATTGTAGTTATGGTTAAGTGGTGCACCCCCACCGTTGTGCTCTAGCCTCGCCCATGCTAGCGTTCGGATGTAGCCACACCCTATTAAAAAAGGAAAAATTGTTTGATGGACATCAAAGTGATGGTCGTTTGCTGGCGAACACTGAAAATAATCAGATTTGCTGAAAGACACTCTGTTTTTTTGCAAAATATGCTGGCAGACACTACGCTTATTAAAATATTCATTTATGGCTTTGGAGGAGAGAGAAGAGCAGTGAAATGTCGTTTTTACCCTTGCCTTCTTCTTCTTCTTCTTCTTCTTCTCCCCTCTCTGTGCGCTTCTCGACCTCTAGCACGATGCGCGCGCCCGCGTGGGCGCCGAGCTCGCGGAGCAGCGCGTGCGTCGGGAGCGCCAGCTCCACGATCAGAGTGGGCTGGCACCGCGCGTTCTGCTGTAGCGACAACGACACGCGGCCGTCGTGGTAGCCGAAGAGCGTGCCCGTGAACCGGTGCCGGGACGACGTGGCTCCACCGAAGGAGGAATGCGCGATGAGCTGCGACAGCAGCGAGCTCGAGTCCGACGACTGCGCGGTGGCGGGCCACAACGACAACGACGGCGCGATCCGGCACGCACTGGGATGCATCTGCCCCCCGCACCGCGGGTTCAGCAGGGGCAGCGATCGGCACATGCTCTGGAACATCCGCATGGGACGGGATCGGCGGTGCGGCGCCTTCCGCCGAGGGGGCTCCTCGAGCGCGTGCCCCACGGCGTGGCGTGCCGAGGATGGGCACGGCAACGCCTGGAGCGGCGGGATGGGCGGTTGCGGCCTGGGCTACCGGTGGTGGCGCGGCAGCGGGCGCGGCCCGCCTACTGCTGCGCTCCCCCGATCGTCCGGCTTCGAGCGCGATGGATAGCCGGAGGCTGTGGATCTGCGCTGCCCATGGGTGGAGGCATGGCGAGGTGTTTTGATGCGGGCGCGGTTGCTGCCCGTCTTGTTGGCGTGGTTACGAGCCACTGGAGCCAAAAGCGCCACCGTGGTGCGGCCGAGTCCTCCGCCGCGCTATTCTAGGCTACCCCCTCGACCAATTTGAGCCGCGCTAGAAGAAGAAGGCTGGGGCAAAAATGATATTTCGCCGCTCTTCTCTCCTCCAAAGTCAGAAATAAATATTTTAATAGGCACCGTGTCCGCCAGCATATTTTGCAAAAAAACATAGTGTCTTTCAGTAAATCTGATTATTTTCAATGTCCGACAGCAAACGATCGTCGCTTTGATGTCCGCAAGACGATTTTCCCATTAATAAAAGAGCAAAATCAAACCTCAAGAACGAACCGTTGGCTTTCTTTTCCAAGACTGACCTGCGGGCCATCCTGTTCCGCCCCACATGTCAGTATAACGGTCAAAGCGCCGCACAGTGCCTTTCTTGGAAGCTTCCTATACTGCACTCGCAACGGCTCCCCGATAAAAAGAGCAGAAAACCCGCGCGCACGCAGACTGTCACGCACTCACGCTCGCTCACACCGGAAGAGGGAGGGGGCCTGGCGTTGCAGGCGGAGCCGGAGGCGAATCCGTTGGAGCGCACGCGAAGTCCAAGGTGAGGCGATGGCCGCCGCCGCCGCCGCCCCCGGTATCTCGATCCTTCCGGCGTCGTCGTAGATCCTTGTCGTTCTGATATGGCCGATCGGCCGGGCCTGTGCGTGCTGCTGTGTTGTTGCGCAGTGATCAGTGCCTCGGCTTCGCGGGATCCTGCCATCTGCCAAGGCGGAGGCGCTGCGCGGGGTGCGGATGGCCTCGGGGACGGGGAACTCGCCGCCGCCGGCGCACGAGGAGGAGCAGGTGCTGGAGGGAGAGGACGCATTCGAGATACCCAGTAAGAACGCGTCGCACGATCACCTGCGACGGTGGAGGGTACGGCGTCTCCACTACTACAGTTCGGTTCAAATTCAGCGTTTTTTTAGTTCGGGATGAAAATACCATAGGCTTGAGCAGTTAAGCTCAAACCTGCGCACTGCGGTCCGCACCGCGAAACAGCCTGTAGTTGGTATTGGTAGATGCCGCGTTAAATGATGATAGGATTTTTCGAATCACTAGTTTGTTTGTCCTTTTACTACCAGTTTGTCACATCGTATTACGGTGGTGTCCCCCGAGAATGTGCTTTGCACACATTTCGTCACTAACTTGGCCCAAACACCAAGTGGCGGCACACGAAGACTCAGCATTCTGATGGGTGCTTGAGAAGTTCCTTCAGACTCCTCTGTGCAGTGCATTCTTTCGTGGGACTTCTGGTTTGCGTCGCAAATAATGTCACCTTTTTGTGACTAATTTATGCTCTGCCTCTGATGGTCCTCACTGAATTAGAGTTATCTTGGATGAATGCTGGGTACTGATGGAAGGATCAGTTCATGCTAAGTTACAAGTCTTTGGGCACCTGCCTCGAGGTTTTAATGTTAAGAGACATTACGAAGCTAGGGGCAGCCTTGTATTCAGTAGAACGATGGCATACTGCATTCGGAATACTCCTGTATCACTGTATGTATACTCGTGGAATCAGAAAGTTTGTTGGCTTGGCTATGTAATTCCCCTTGAATATAGTAATTAGTTTTGAATCCTGCTATTTGTTACTCCTAACCACCATGTACACTTTTACGAGAAACATTAGTAAAGTTTGTTGCATCCTTCAATAGGAGGCTGTACTTATGACTGCATGTTCTCTTTTCACTCTTCATTTCAGCAAGCTGCTCTGGTGCTCAATGCTTCTCGTCGTTTTAGATACACTCTAGACCTGGAAAGGGAGGAAGAGAAAGAGAACTTAAGAAGAATCATACGATCCCATGCACAAGTGATACGAGTAATATCTTATTTGCTAGTTGAAAGAACAGTTTTCTTTTCTGAAGTAAATACATTTTTCATTCCAAGTCTGAATTCTTCAGGCAGTATTTCTTTTCAAGGAGGCTGGCCAGAAGAACCTAGGAGGTACCGCTTCCATCATCCAACTTCTAAGCTTAATGGAAGATTCCACCATCCTTGCAAAATGGTCATGTAACAAGGGAAATCCCATGTGAATAGTGACATGTCATTATTAATTTATCTCTTGGTAGTAATCATTATGCCATTGTAAATTTCTTCTTTCATTTGATATGTTAAATTTGCTAAGTCTCTTACATCTGAGTGACCTTCAGCTTTGTACCGCTTTCACATTTTCCTGATCATATGGCCTTATATGTCATATTGTTCACGTGCTTTATCACAACATAGATTACCTTGAGCAATCTCAATTTTGTCACCATATAATCCAATAAAAATGATTCCCTAAAAAAAAAACCCCCAATAAATCTCTCTCTCTCTCTCTCTCTCTCTCTCTCGCTTGATTAATTGTAGTTAATACAATTGTGATGTTTTTAATGTTTTTATCTAAGCAGAGTATTGCACTAGCATAAAAGATGAGACGCTCTCTCAGAGATTTTCAGTTGATCTGAAAAAACTCAAAATGCTGAACAGAGACCATGACGCTGTAATATTCCAGGAGGTTGGAGGGGTAGGTTCAATTGAAATTTTACTTGGGTCTGTAACTTATTTTCCTACTTTTCGTTCTGCGGTTTGATGACATTTCTTACACAATGCTCCCATTTAGGTTAAGGGGCTTTCAGATTTACTAAAGAGTGACTTAGACAGAGGAGTTAGTCCAGATGAGAATGAATTGATGCGGAGGAGAGATATTTTTGGGGCAAACACATATCCACGCAAGGAAAGAAGAAGCATCTGGGTACACAATGTGGATAAGTGGCCAACACATATTTTCTAAGCCTCTCTTTTGAAATAACCACTCCTAGTTCATTTATTCTAGGGAGCTGTATTATATTTTCTTATGTTTTCCTCAGTTGTATTATGTCGTCCGGTCCTATGACTCCAATTATGTTTACCGACACGATTTGTCGGACCAGGTTCCAAGTCTTCCGACTAATCGTGTCTTAATCACGATTAGTCGTCCGATTAGGATGGAAAACCACTAGCTTTCATTTTGTGCATTGGGCTGCCTGAACAACTGGGCTTCTGCGAGCTGGTAGGCTGGCCATCCCGAAGATGAGCTCCTCCTCTAGTCCTCCAATCGTCCTCCATCTTCTTGCTGCTATGCTGCGTGTGCGTTTGATTTGTGCTCTGCCCTGCTCTAGCTCTGCTGCTGCTCTTGCCTCTTGCTCTGCTGCTGCTGCTCTAGCTCTACTGCTGCTGCTGTTCGTACCTCATGCTTATGCTGCTACTCTCTGCTTAGTGCTTACATACACCTATGTGGCTGATGCTATATGGTATATCAGTGCCCTAGTGCTTACACGTATGTGCAAATGTGCCAATGTGGATAAGTGGCCAACTGGCCATCAAATCTCACAAGAATCTGTGCCCTAGTGCTTTTAGACTCTTTCTGCTTGCTTTTATCCTATATGGTGTATTAGTCCTGGAGTGCACAGGACGACTATATGGACAATTCGGACCAACTAGACTCCTAATCGGTCTAGTGGACGACTAAACGCGATTAGTCAGCTGGTCAGTCCCATGGCGACTATGGTTGACTAGATGATTTGATAACAATACTTCCTCTTTATTCCGCCCCCGAGATAGGATGTTGATTATGTCGTGGAACCAATAAAGATTTGATAATTCTAAATTTACATGTGGTATTTTCAAAATGAAAACTTTAGAACACAAATTAACACGCAAGTGATATTCATTATTCACTAGCACTTCATTGCTTGAAACATACAACTTGTGTCTTCAAATTTAATATTTATTATTTCCTTATCTGCAGCATTTTGTATTTGAAGCCTGTCAGGATTTAACTCTTGTAATTCTAATGGTAGCTGCTGCTATATCATTATCACTGGGCATGGCAACAGAGGTATCTTTATGACATTCTGATGATCTTTTCTCGTCTCCATGGGTAGTCATCTTGTCCTTTTTTTTTTCTCTCGAACATGTAGTGGTCATCTTGTCTTACCCACCAAGTTTCAACTGGGATATAATTTTGATTAAATAACAGTTTGGCTGATTAGGATCCATGATTATTCCTGTTTCCACGATTTAGGGTGTAAAAGATGGATGGTATGATGGTGGAAGCATATTTTTTGCCGTCTTCCTTGTGATATTCGTTACAGGTAAACAATTTGTGTTTTACAGTTAGCTCTCTCCTTTCTTTTACTGTTGTCAAGTTATGCCCGCATCAGTTCATCAATAAGCTTAAGTTATTGTCTAAGGTAGGCAATATACCCACATTTCAACCACCAACCAAGCCTCTACATCACAGCTCATTCAGGCAATCAGGCCTTGATTAAGGAATATATATTAAGTAGTGTTTTGGGGGCGCAGATGCAGACCGGTCATGCCTAATGTAGTCAACACAGATTTCTTTCAAGTATATGGTCTTGCAGGGTTTCAAGCTTAGGAGCCATGATGTCCTACTCTGCAAATGTAAAAGTACACCTACCCTTGCTGGCAATGTAATTGGACCACTATTTTCACTCTTCTTAATACAATGGCATGCAGTTCTTATGCGTGCTCGAGAAAAAAAAAAGAATGTTATGTGCCAACCATTACACCAAACATCTTAGGTATTAGAGAAGGACCAGTTCTTTTTCCTCTTTCCTCTCTCCTGGAGAGATCTGGGTCTTCTGGACCCTCCTTTAATTCCTCTTCTTTTATTTTCTCAAGAGAAACCTGTTTGCTTTTTGCCTTTTCTTTTCTTATATAAATAAATATTTACCACAGTAGGGGCTTCCCCTACTGTTTTCACTCAAAAAATATGCTCATATGTCAAAAACTGCACTTAAATATGGTCATGTTCTATTTTACGGTTTTCCCTCATGTTACAGTACCCCGAGTCATCTTGTTCTGTTCTGATACTTTATTTTTTCACAACTTTCTTAGCAACCAGTGATTATAGACAATCACTTCAGTTTCAACATCTGAATGAGGAGAAACGAAACATACAAGTTGAGGTGAGTACGTTTATACGCATTTATTTTGGGATTTAATTCTGCATATAGACAGTCATTCTATGTCAGTACCAACTTATTGTGATCTATAGGTCATCAGAGGTGGTAAGAGATTAGTAGCTTCAATATTCGACCTTGTTGTTGGTGACGTGGTTCCCCTCAAAATCGGTGACCAAGTACGAAATCATATATTCTGGTCTATCTCTACATCTTAGTTCCTTCTCTATTTTCCCCTCAAAAATTTGATGTGGTTATGTTCATCCATCTTTAGGTTCCTGCAGATGGTATACTGATATATGGTCATTTTCTTGCAATTGATGAATCGAGTATGACAGGGGAATCCAAAATTGTAGGTGTTGGTAAAAAATGGAACCCTTTTTTGTTTCCTAAAATCTGCGTTTTTTCTAAATGTTTCAACTATATATCATGATTAGGTTAATAAGGACCAAAGGGCCCCTTTCTTGATGTCCGGTTGCAAGGTTGCAGATGGTTATGGCTCTATGCTGGTAAGCATCAGACTGTTTTCCAGGGCTTGTGGAGTATAACTTAATTGACTCTTTCAAAGTATATATGGCGAGTGGAGTGTGTTGCTTTACCTGAGTATGCTTTCCTGTACAGTATTACGTGTATCGGCTGCTACTATCACATTCATTCTGGCACTTTATATTCACCACTAACATAATCTTTCTGCAATTGCTATCAATACAAAGGTAACTGGTGTGGGTATCAATACTGAATGGGGTATGATGATGGCCAACCTTTCAGAGGATACTGGTGAAGAAACCCCATTACAGGTTAATTTCTTAAGTTGCCTTTTGAAAAGGGACGGTTACGCACAATGAGTCTATTTTGACTCAATATTGATTGGTCCTTGCTCCCACTTGCTTTGGCATAGGTACGCTTGAATGGTGTTGCTAATCTTATTGGTATTGTGGGTTTGTCGGTTGCTGGTGCTGTCCTCGTCGTCCTCTGGCTAAGGTCTGTTCAAGAGTTAGTTGCCATGACCATGTGGTATATCTTACACAGTTATGCAACACTTCAATGTCTGTTTCTTACAAGGATTTTTTTTTTTTTTAAATGCAGGTATTTTACTGGACATACCAAGAATCCAGATGGGACTACCCAATTTTTGGCTGGAACAACAGGTGTAAAACAGGGATTTATGGGGGCAATTAGAATTTTGACAATTGCTGTATGTATTGCTAGATAGTTTTTTTTTGTTAATGTTATGAAGAGTATCAGCTTTTACACACCTGATTATGCCATATTTCTTTATAGGTGACTATTGTGGTTGTTGCTGTGCCTGAAGGACTTCCTTTAGCAGTAACATTGACGTATGGATTGTTTATCTTTCATGCAAGTTACTTAGAATTTTTTTCGGTACATTACTCATGGTTTCTTTTTTCTTTTTTTTGTTTCAGTCTTGCATATTCAATGAGGAAGATGATGCGAGACAAGGCTCTGGTAAAACCTCAGATAGATTTACGAAGCCAAACCTTCATATGACTCAATATATGTATATACATATTTATATCATTGACTTTTTCATATTTTTTTTCTCAGGTGAGACGGCTCTCATCTTGTGAAACAATGGGATCAGCAACCACTATTTGCAGTGACAAGACTGGAACTCTTACCATGAATAAGGTTTGTGAAGTCAATATGTACTCACCACAAAAGTACCGTATATTATTCCCATGGATGGTGTTACTTCATGTTTTTTCAATTGAATTCTAAAATATGAAATTCTAACAGTTACAAGTGCATATATTCCTATACGAGTGTTTAACTATGAAACCCACGATGGCATAAAGTCAATGACACCTTAAATTCATATAATTCTTTTGGTACCTTGTTTGTATTGATCTTCTAGATGACAGTTGTTGAAGCGTATTTGGGTGGGAAAAAAATGGATCCTTATGATAATGCCAGCACGATGTGCACCAGTGTGACAGATCTATTAATTGAAGGAATTGCACAGAACACAACAGGGACTGTGTTTATGGCAGAGGTAATAAACTCCATAAACCTTGTATTGTTTGCAGAATCTAGTTGATATGCTACATTGACATGTATACCAATTAAGTTCTATTGATATGAATTGAACGAGATCAATCCTATGTTGTTTTCATAGCATGGAAAATTAAATCCAAGTTAGTATGGTTCCCTATTTTTAGGATGGAGGAGCTACGGAAGTTACTGGCTCACCAACTGAAAAAGCAATTCTTTCTTGGGGCCTTATGGTAATACTGAGTATACACTCATTTATTTTGCATTATTTCCTTCGATTTATTTTATTGATTTGACAGTTTGCCTGAATAGATTGGGATGGACTTCAAGGATGTGAGATCAAAATCTTCAGTTCTTCATGTTCTCCCATTCAATTCAGAGAAGAAGCGTGGTGGTGTGGCTTTGCAAGTGGTAAGCTTATTCTAATGTACTGAAAAATTCTGAAGGAAATAATCTGTTGTCGAACAAGAAATTATCATGTCTATTATTGATTGTTTATAGTGGAACTAATAAGGACATAAAACTATATACTTTTTTTTTTGAACGAACATAAAACTACATACTTGGCTCTGTGTAAATTTGAGTTTTGCTACTGATTTTCACATTTTTTACTTTTTTTATGCAGTGCTTGTCTAGATTTCCAGATCTCATTACAATTCTTTTGCTGAAAAAATATCATCCAAGTGCTTTTGGATAATCTGCCACATTTTCATCTGACCCTGACAATGTTGGGGTTTCTTTCCTTCTCTGTTTGGATCTTCTTTATATGTAAATATGCCTATTAGTTCCTTCCTGAATGCTTGTCATGGCGACAATATCTTATCTGTGCCTGAGAATCTTTCCTACTCCCTTTTAGATTGCCTTACCTCACTACTCTTTTGTATGTGTATTTGCAGTCAGATACAGAGTTTCACATTCATTGGAAAGGGGCAGCGGAGCTACTATTAGCATCTTGCCGAAGCTGGCTTTCTACTGATGGTTCTGTTCAGCCAATGAATTCCATCAAGGTAAATATGCACCCAACTTGCCTTTTTAGTCATTCTGATTTCTAAAGTATTATTAACTTTAAAGTATTCTTTTCAGCATAGCGAATTCAAGAAATCGATTGATGATATGGCAGTGAGTTCATTGCGTTGTGTAGCTTTTGCATATTGCCCCTGGGAATCCAAAATGGTCCCAACGGAATCTCTAGATAAGTGGAAGTTGCCTGAGGATGATCTGACTCTTATTGGGGTGGTCGGGATAAAGGTAGTTTATTCTGAGCCTATGCATATTTGTACCTCTCCTCAGTACTTGACTTTGATATTACGTTTGCGTTCTCCCCCTCAACCCCCCAAAAAAAAAGTCCAATATTTTGAATTCAGAAATCCATACTCTTTAATGTAATACGACTTCAACTAGCACTAAACATAATGATATAACACTCAATTCCAGTTGCTATCGTCAAGTTTTTACACGTCATTCTCGAGTCGCATAACCATAAGTATGGCAGAAATGAGAAGCTAAGAGTATAATGGTGCAAAAACTTGTTCTTGGTGTTTTGTACCCATTATGTTCCAAACTTATTTAACTTTGACCAAGTTTATAGAGAAATATATTCACATTTACAATACCAAATAAATGCACTATCAAGACATATTTCATGGTGGATTTAACGAACTAGTTTTATGTTGTATACATTGATGCATCTTTGATCTTTTTATAGACTTGACTTGGTCAAAGTTAGAGAAGTTTGACTTAGGACAAAACTAGAACACCTTAATATTTTAAAAGAGTGATTTGGTTTTTTACAGGCCCACTCTATGTTTAGATTATTCTGCAAAGTAACTCTAGCTCCTTTTGTTTATTTGCTTGTCTAGGCACATATTCTGTTCATATTTGTCCATAACTTGTAACTTCCCAGTGATTGAATTCATTATTCACCCTTCTATAAGAGTTTCTTCTACTGTAGGATCCCTGTCGCCCAGGAGTGAGGAATGCTGTGCAATTATGCAATACTGCTGGTGTAAAGGTTTGTTGTCATCTGTACTCATTTATGTTCCCCTCTACTTTTTTATTTATCATGCATTCATTCACCTTCCGGATTTTCATCCGTTTGTTCTAGTCTGAACTTATGTTGGTTAATCTAGATCATGAGTCATGAGTCATGACCATCTCTTTAGCTTTTTTGTGAAACCATCTCTTTAGCTCATATTGTGCTTTGAATAATAGTACTTACAATGTGCCAATGTTAAATTCATTTTATGAACATAATTTGCTTCTCATGACTTAAAATATTTATTTCAATGTTTTATTTTGTCCCCCTTTTTTACTTTAGGTACGCATGGTCACAGGAGATAATGTTGGAACAGCAAAGGCCATTGCTGTGGAGTGTGGAATATTAGACGCAAAAGATGCTGCATCAGAACCTAATGTAATAGAAGGAAAAGTGTTCCGCGAGATGTCTGAAACTGCACAAGAAGATATTGCTGACAAAATTACAGTAAATCTCCATTGATCTCTCTCCCTCATTATGTTACATTTTAGGATTTATATGCCACAGTAGATTCCATTTATATTAAAATCACAATAATATACTTAAATACTTAATAATGTACATTTTCCACTTATATCTGATTAGTATGGATTTCAATACAACACATCATTGTATCCAATGGTTGATAGACTTATATAGCATCGCACCTTTGGTGTCATGGTGGAGTTGTTGGTTCAAATCCTAGTGCACACAATTTAAAGAATAACTAGCTGTGTGCGTCCCTGATTAGTGCAAAGGCTGCAAATTATCTCCATTATCTAAAATTGAACCAACTTAGAGCTCCACATAAGACCCTGTCTACTCATCAAAATGTTTTACTATATGATCTATGGCAAATTTGGAGCTACTGTTATCCATGACAAAGAAGGCTCAAGTTAAATTGGATGCGGCTGAACTACAGTGATGCTTTGTGCTGAAAATTGATGGTTCTCCTTTGTTTTATAATGCAAGTAGCGAACATTTGCAACGCCTTTTATTTTAATTAATAACATGTCATTACTAGACCATATAAAAAAACTAGTTGATTAGTTGGACTTAATAAAGGAAGAAGCCCATTTTACTACCCTGAACAATCTTGTTCACTTAATCCCATCAATAAAATGTCAGCTCAATTTACTCCCCAAACTATTTCAATTATTCCAATGTACCCCAGTAATTTTTTCCTTTTTTGTTTCTTCCTATACAAATTTAGTTTTAAGTTCAGAATTTGTAGAGTGACATAACTTATGTCAAAGAAAGGTATATTAAGAATTTTTCATGATTATTTTCATAGATTAGGAGCATGTAATACTAAATTAACTCTAGAAATACAAAAAAAAAAATGAACAATATGATGAAAATTCTTAATGTATTTGTCTAACATAGGATGTCATGTTATTTATCACCCCACAAAATTTGAACTTAAAACAACAATGACAAAATCATTAGGGGAAATAGTGGGTTAAAAGGATAAAGTGGATTGTTTGGGGTATTAAAATGGGATTTCCCCTAATTGAAAGCTCGTCAATGACATGAGAGGTACTTTTGAATTTTCTAAATATCAGTCACTCAACCAACTCTCTGTTGCAGGTAATGGGAAGATCTTCCCCAAATGACAAACTTTTGCTTGTTCAATGTTTAAAAAGAAAGGGCCATGTTGTAGCTGTTACTGGTGATGGCACAAATGATGCTCCTGCATTACATGAGGCCAGTCCAAAATTTCATCATTCCTTTGATAATCAACCTGCAATAACCTTCTCCTAATCCTGAACTTTTTGTCATATAGGCTGATATAGGTCTTTCAATGGGAATATCAGGAACAGAAGTTGCCAAGGAAAGCTCAGACATTATAATCTTAGATGATGACTTCACCTCAGTGGTCAAGGTTATCTTCTGTAACTTCAAAGTATAAGGCATTCTAACCAAGATGTGATGTGTCCCAGTATACTTTCGTCACAGCATGCATGATGCCTTTGCTTATCGGCATGCATAATTGTTAGAATAAACTACTGCCTTCCTTGTGTAAACACAGCAAGGGAAGGCGGCGCCGAAAAGACCCCCTGCTGTGATACTGTAGCCGCTGCAGGTGCAGGCGCCGCACGGCTCACCTGCAGCACTGTTAGCCACATGCAGAGGCCGGCGCAGAGTCAGCCCTATGTGTTATCTAGTCACTGTTGCAGCAAGACAGCTGTACTAGGACTAGATAGATAGAGTTGTATAAATAGACTACCACGACAACTCAGTAAAGAGAGTTCAGATTTGCCATCTCTCATACAGGGCTTCGGCCAACGCTTGCGTCTTGTACTGTGTGTATGCTCTGTTCTTCCTTCTTCTTCTAGCTCTAGCCATAGTGCGTGGGGACGGACAACGTTTGTTCGTGGTCGGCACGGCTAGTGGGTGCTCGGCAACACTAGCGGGTACTCGGCAAGACTGGTGAGTGGTTCACTCACCTGAGCTGGTGATCCTATGGGCCAACAATTGGTATCAGAGCCGTACAAGCGCCATCACCAGACTAACCGCTGGCGATGACGGGCGGTTCGGAGATGGGCGACAGCAGTGGCACTATTGTGACTGCCCAGCCACGACCGGAGGTCAGCGGCACCAGTTGGCCGACGCTGACTCGCACCAACTATGGAGAGTGGTCGGTGACCATGAAGGTCAAGCTCAGAGCCCGACGGCTCTGGAATGCTGTTGACAAGGGCACCGAAAATGAAGAAGATGACATGTCAGCGTCGGAGGCTATCCTCGCTGCTGTACCGGCGGAGTACAGGGAGCCGTTGGGGGCGAAGAGCTCGGCTAAGGAGGCGTGGGAGGCTATTACGGCGATGCACGTCAGTTCCGGCGCGCAAAGAAGGCGACGACCCAGCTTCTGAAGCAGGAGTACGCCAACCTCAAGTTAAAAGATGGTGAAACGGTGGAGGACTTCTCCCTCCGCCTACAGATGCTCATCAGCAAGCTGAAGAGCCATGGCGTCACCATCGACGAAGAGGAGGCGGTCTCCATGTACCTCCACTCCGTGCCGACAAAGTACATCCAGATCGCTCTCTCCATAGAGACGATGCTGGACTTGTCCACCCTCACCATTGAGGATGTGACAGGCCGTCTGCGGGCGGTGGACGAGCGCCTGGAGCAGGCGACAGCAACGAAGGACAGCGGGAAACTCCTGCTGACGAAAGAGGAGTGGGCTGCTCGGAGGAATTCCAGGAAGGCAGCCTCCTCCAGCCGCGGTGGCGATGGCAAGCGCCGCGGCAAGGCTTCTTCGGAGAAGAAGAAGCAGGTCGACCCCAACGCCTGTCGACGCTGCGGGAAGATGGGCCATTGGGCACGGGAGTGCCCAAACCGCAAGCAGGAAAAGAAGGCTTAGACTCATCTGACGCAAGCCGATGATGAGGATGAGGCCACTATCCTGATGGTGACGTTCTGTGCACTGCACAACGTCGAGGCCGAGGAGAGGGAAGGCGACGACGGTGGAATGACCTGGGAAGGCCCTAAAGACTGTCAACCTCGACGAACCACGCGCCCAAGTCCACCTCGGACGTGTGGGCGCCGACCAGGAGCAGCGGTGGTATCTGGACTCTTGTGCCAGCAACCACATGATGGGCTCCAAGGCTTCTTTCTCCGAGCTCGACGACGATGTTACCGGTACGGTGAAGTTTGGTGACGGCTCACGGGTGGGAATCCAAGGGCGCGACACCATCATCTTCAGGTGTCAGAACGGGGAGCACCGCGCGCTAACGGATGTATATTACATCCCTTAGCTACGTTCCAGCATTATCAGCATTGGTTAGCTGGATGAGCGCGGTAGCGAGGTACTGATCAAGGACGGAGTCCTTAGGATCAGGGACCGGGAGCAGCGACTTCTTGCCAAGGTGAAGAGGTTCCTGAACCGGTTGTACCTGCTCGACCTGAAGGTAGAGCAGCCGGTGTGCCTAGCGGCAAGGCACTCCGAGGAACCGTGGATGTGGCATGCCCGGTTCGGACATCTCAGCTTCGACGCGCTTGGTGGGCTGGAGAAGATGGTCCGAGGGCTACCCCACATCAAGCACGAAGGCGAGCTGTGTGACAGCTGCCTGGCCGGGAAGCGGAGGAGGTTGCCATTCCCAAAGGCGGCCAAGTATCGCGCGGAGGAAGCTCTCGAGCTCGTCCACAACGATCTCTGTGGGCCGATCACGCCTGCTACAAACGGTGGCCGGCAGTACTTCCTCCTGCTCATGGATGATTACAGTCGCTACATGTGGCTGCAACTCCTGACGAGCAAGGACGAAGTGGCGGCGGCGATCAAGAAGTTCAAGATGCGCGCGGAGGCCGAGAGCGGCAAGAAGCTCCGCGTGCTGAGGACCGATCGCGGCGGCGAATTCACTTCGGTGGAGTTCGCTGCGTACTGCGCGGATCAGGGTGTGGGGCAACACCACACCGCGCCATACTCGCCACAACAAAATGGCGTGGTGGAGAGACAGAACCAGACGGTGGTCGGCATGGCCCGATCCATGATGAAGGCCAAAGGCATGCCGGCAAGGTTCTGGGGTGAGGCGGTGACCACGGCGGTGTTCATCCTCAACCGCTCTCCGACTAAGGCCCTGACGGGCAAGACGCCGTTCGAAGCTTGGTATGGGCGCAAGCCGAGCGTGTCCTTCCTCCGGACATTCGGCTGCATCGGCCACGTCAGGAAGACGAAGCCGAACCTCACCAAGCTGGAGGACAGGAACACACCGATGGTGTTCCTGGGCTACGCAGAGGGTACCAAGGCGTACTGGCTCTACGACCCACGCGGAGACAAGGTGCTTGTCTCGCGCGACGTCGTGTTCGACGAGAAGGCGGCTTGGGACTGGAGCAGTCCGAGCATGGGGGAAGCTGGCGGCTTCACCAGCACCTTCGTCGTCGAGCACTTGGTCATCCACGGTGGTGGAGACGCTGGGGAAGAGGTGCCGAGCACTCCGGGAGGAGTGCCGAGCACTCCTGGGGCAGTGCCGAGTACTTCGGGAGGGATGCCGAGCACTCCGGGAGGAGTGTCGAGCACTCCTAGAGGGATGCTGAGCACGCCAGGAGTGGTGCCGGGAGGTTCTGCAGGGGTGGCGACCACTACAGGACGGGTGTCGAGCACTCCCGTCGCGGAGCCAAGACGTCTTACAGTGGTGCCAACCACTCCAAGACTGAGGCTGGGCACTCCTACAGTGTGGCCGAACACTGCAGGAGTTATGACGAGAAGTCCAGAAGTAGTGCCGAGCACTGCACCTGGGGTGCCGAGCACTTCAGGTACTGTACCGAGCATTCTGGTGGAACAAGGAACTCCATCAACGCTGATCGAGTTCGCCTCACCTCCAAGTGACATCACTGAGTTCGTGGACGCCTACCACGAAGGTGAGGAGGTGCGGTTCCGCAGGCTGGACGACATCGGCGGCGGCACAGGGCCCTCAGGCCTGGCTGGTCGGCTGCTCAATGACGCAGAGCTGCTACTCGTCAGTGCTGAGGAACCACCCACGTTCGCGCTAGCCGAGCGCGATGGAAACTGGCGACGGGCGATGCTGGAGGAGATGAAGGCGATCGAGGAAAACGAGACTTGGTAGCTCGTCGATCCACCTCCAGGATGCTGTCCGATCAGCCTGAAGTGGGTGTACAAGGTCAAGCGGAATGAACTCGGCGCCATTGTCAAGCACAAGGCGCGCCTCGTTGCCGGAGGCTTTGTACAGCACGAGGGCATAGACTTCGAGGAGGTCTTTGTGCCGGTAGCGCGCATGGAATCTGTCCGTCTGCTACTAGCCTTGGCAGCAGCAAAAGACTGGCGCGTCCATCCCTTGGACGTTAAATCGGCCTTCCTCAACGGCGAGCTGGCGGAGACGGTCTTCGTCAGACAACCTCCAGGTTTCGCCGTAAAGGGAGAGGAGCACAGGGTGCTCCGACTGCGCAAGGCGCTCTATGGGCTGCGGCTGGCCCCACGAGCATGGAACGCCAAGCTTGACGCCACGTTGGGCGAGCTTGGGTTTCAGCGGTGCACAACCGAGCACGCACTCTACACGCGGCGACGGGGGAAGGAGGAGCTCGTCGGCGGCGTGTATGTGGACGATTTGATCGTCACCGGCGCGCGCATGGAGGACATCAACAGCTTCAAGCGTGAGATGGCAGCTCGTTTTTGAATGAGCGATCTCGGCGCACTCCTATCACCTCGGCATCGAGGTGAGACAGGGGAAGGAGGAACTCACGCTCGGTCAGAGCACGTATGCCTCCAAGCTGTTGGAGAGGAGCGACATGGCTGAGTGCAAGCTATGCGTGACTCCGATGGAGGAGCGGCTGAAGCTGACGAAGGCCAGCACCGCGGCGAAGGTGGATGCAACACTCTACCAAAGCATCGTTGGCGGTCTGCGCTACCTAGTCCACACGGGGCCGGACATTGCGTTCGCCGTGGGCTACGTCAGTCGCTTCATGGAGGATCCCAGAGAGGATCACTGGGCTACGGTGAAGCGGCTACTGCGCTACGTCAAGTGAACGATGGATCATGGGATCATCTTCCCAAAGACCGGCGGGAGTAGGCTGCAGCTCACTGTGTTCAGCGATGCAGACATGGCGGGAGACATCGACGGACGACGGAGCACCTCTGGCGTGCTTGTCTTCCTCGGGTCGGCTCCAATTTCATGGCTGTCGCTGAAATAGAAGGTGGTGGCACTATCTACGTGCGAGGCAGAGTACGTAGCGGTGGCCACAGCGGTGTGCCAAGTTGTATGGCTACGCCGGCTGCTGGACGAGTTGACCGGCGTGGAAGCTCACCCACCAGCACTGATGGTGGACAACCAGCCCGCCATCGTCCTCGCGAAGAATCCGGTTCTGCACGACCGGAGTAAACACATCGACGTGAAGTTTCACTTCCTCAGGGACTGTGTTGATGGAGGGCAGATCGTCATCGAGTTCGTCGAAACTGGTCGGCAACTCGCGGACGTCCTCACCAAGCCGCTCGGACGTCTTCGACTCACGGAGCTGAAGGAAATGATCGGCATGGAGGGGGTACAAGGGATAGCAGTAGGTTTAGGGCAAGAATTGTTAGAATAAACAACTGCTTTCCTTGTGTGAACACAGCAAGGGAAGGTGGCGCCGAAAAGGCCCCATGCTGTGATACTGTAGCAGCTACAGGTGTAGGCGCCGTACGGCTCACCTGCAGCACTGTAGCCACATGTAGAGGCCGGCGCAGAGTCAGCCCTGTGTGTTATCTAGTCACTGTTGCAGCAAGACAGCCGTACTAGGACTAGATAGATAGAGTTGTATAAATAGACTACCACAGCAACTCAGTAAAGAGAGTTCAGATGGCAGCTGGTGTCTTGTACTGTGTGTATGCTCTGTTCTCCCTTCTTCTTCTAGCTCTAGCCATAGTGCGTGGGAACGGACAACGCTTGTTCATGGTTGGCACGTGTCGGTGTTTCGGACCGGGGGTCCTCTACCAACTAGTGAATTTGAACTGTGTGCCCCTAATTTCGGATGGTGATGTAAAGAGACACAAGGTTTATACTGGTTCAGGCAATCGATGCCCTACGTCCAGTCTGAGAGATCGATCTTGTATTCCTTGCACCGAAGTGCTAGTAGTAGGGGGTTACAAGCACAGGGAGAGAGGGAGCTAATCCTAGGTCTCGGCGAGGTGTCGTGTGGGCTGCTTGAGACGTTGCTCTCAGGCGGCTGGGATGTGTATGTGTGTGAGCTACCAGGTGTTCTTCCTATTTCTCCTCTTTCCCCCCCCCGAGTTATCCCTGGCTGCTTCCTTTTATAACCGCAAGGAGGGAGCCAGGAGTACATGAGTGAGCTATACGTGGAGCCTACTGTAGTTCAGTCCTGTAGCAGCATGGTGTTGGGGATGGCGATTGGTACTTGACTGGCGCGCCGTGCTGGCCAGGCCCGAGGTTGTTGAGGTCGTGGGGGTCCTTGTTAACGTTTAGTCAGTATGGCTTCCACTGTAGGAGGCATGACGTGCCTTGTGTGTTCTTGACTTGGTGGAGTGCCGAGGCCTGGCGGGTGCTGTAGCTGATCGTGCCGAGGCCTGCTTTGCCGAGGCCTCGGAGGTGACCCGTGTATGATGCGGGGGTCTCGGTGGTCTGCGTCGTACCCGGTTCAGGCGGAGAAGTGCGGAGCGTGTGTCCACTGTGGCACGGTAACCCCCGCACCGTCGGTATGAGATGGTAAAAGGAGATTTGACCGCTGTCCCATCGCCTCGTTCTTCGCATACTCGTCAATCGTGGTCGACGTAGTAGGTGCGACCAGCGCACTTAAACGGATGTGACGGCTCGCGCCAGAGGGACGGTTGAGGCGGAGGCAACGAGGATGCGGACATTTGAGCCGGCCTCGGCCGAGGCGGAGAAGGAATAGTATCGTCCGAGGCCCTACCGGGGTCTCTTGTTGAGGCGGAGGCGACGAGGATGCGGGATTTGAGCCGGCCTCGGCCGAGGCGGAGAAGGAATAGTACGTCCAGAGCTCTCGCCGGGGTCTCGGACGAGGCGGAGGACGAACGGTTGGTCTTTTATGCTGATTCCGAGACTACCGGGACCCGGACTTGACCCTCCACGCCACTTTGTCCTTGGCGCAGGAGTTAGGTAGTAGCACAGGCAAGACGGGTGTCGGCTGGGGCACACAATGATGAGCACGATGGTAGGTAACCTCGCCGCGCCGGTCCCTTGTCCCGTCGGTCATTCTGCCTGTACTGTGCCAACGTGCGGCTGACGTTGCGGGAGTAGTGGGGCGTATTGACTGGGCGTGGCGTTTTGTCAGGGGAGTCGGTCGGGACGGAGGTGACGAGGTTGTTGCCGAGCCCAGCCTCGGGCGAATCGGAGAATTGGTATCCCGGCATCGCGGGGCGGGGCCTCGGCGAGGGGGCCTCGGCGAGAGGGCCTCGGCGGGGCGGAGGGCTTTGGCCTTTCGTCTGAGGCCTCGGCGCAAGCCTTGGGCGAGTCGGAGAATCTGCCGAGACCTCGTGCTTGTCCTTTGGCTTTGATTTTTGCAAGGCTTAAGCAATATTTTCGGTTCTTGCTTAGGGTACCCCTTCTTGTGGTATCCGACAGCACGGCTAGTGGGTGCTCGACAACACTAGCGGGTGCTCAACAAGACTGGTGAGTGGTTCACTCACCTGAGCCGATGATCCTGTGGGCCAACAATAATGTCATAGCTTGTCAATGTTTTTTTTAATGCACGTAGTTTGTCAACATGACAAATTATCAATTCACTCGTTATGTTTCTTTTTGTGATCTTTCTGTTAGTTGAAAAAATGCATTAAAACGATATAATAAATGTTTACAGTTACCGTAACAGCCCATACCTGCAGATATTCTTGCTGATTTTATACTTCGCTTGCTTTGAGTATACTTAACGATTATTTATAACATCTGTCTAGACTTTAGAGCTTGAATGTTTATTTTAAATTTCTCCTTGCAGGTTGTTCGATGGGGCCGGTCTGTTTATGCAAATATTCAGAAGTTTATCCAGTTCCAACTTACTGTTAATGTTGCTGCCCTAGTTATAAATGTGGTTGCTGCTGTGTCCTCCGGGGATATTCCTCTGAATGCTGTTGAGGTTCAGATTTTCCTTTTGACCTGTAGAACTACAATATTATTCTTACTTTTAAATTTTTTTATAGCTCCTCTACCTTGTTACTGGAGTGGTTTAGCATGTCACGTGCATGAGAAGGGCTATGGCAAATCTTTGCTGTCTATTAGAAATATTGTATGCATATTATTTATTAAAGGAATTGGATACAGATTGTTACAATAGATTTTTATGTTTCTAGAAAGTATAGCAAGGCACTTAATGTAAGACCTCGCAGGAATCTTATTTGGTACATTTCTTGCAAATGATGCCCAGTTTGTTTGTTTTTATCTACTTATTGTTCCCCCCTTGTCAGCTTCTTTGGGTGAACCTTATTATGGACACACTCGGAGCTCTTGCATTAGCAACCGAACCACCAACAGACAACCTAATGAAGAGGCGTCCCGTCGGTCGAAGGCATGGCATAACATCCTTGATAGCTATCAACACTTTTGTTTTGTGTACTCTGTTCTATTTCGTAGTTAGGTGTTGTGCAAAAGCAGCATGATATTTACTTTCTAATTTACTTCCGCAGGGAACCTCTTGTCACAAACGTTATGTGGAGAAACCTTTTTATCCAGGTCTCTAGTTGTCTACTCATCTTTATGTCTTGAAGTAGACCCTACTGAATGGGGCCATGTTCATTTTTACATATCTAACTTCATTGCAGGCACTGTACCAGATAGCAGTTCTTCTCATATTCAATTTTGATGGCAAAAGGATTCTTCGTTTACAGAATGAAAGTTGGGAGCATGCTGGGAAAATTAAAAATACCTTTGTCTTTAATGCATTTGTCTTTTGCCAAGTAAGTTGGTCGCTCTCCAATTTAAAAGTTTCCTTCATATGGCTTCAACATACCCTTGCCATATATCCACTTTTTTTCTTTAAAAAAATGGATATATCGCCCTTTAAATTATACCAATAATCATATGTACTCTACAGCTTCTTAGCAGCTTGGTAAGTCTATTATACAGGACCGTAGAATTGTTTTCCCATACCTGCTGTGCCATTTGTGTCAGATCTTCAATGAGTTCAATGCTCGCAAGCCTGAAGAGAAGAATGTCTTCAAGGGAGTTACAAACAACCAACTTTTTATGGCCATAGTTGGTGCAACTACCGTGCTTCAGGTAACATGCTATTAGAATGCTTTTAGTTTTGCATGGTTTGACGAACGGCAATTATCAAGTATTAACACTCCCTGTCAGATCTTGATGATTGAGTTCCTCGGGAAGTTCTTCGATACTGCTAAACTTAATTGGAGACTATGGTTGCTGTCAGTGGCTATTGGCGCAGTGAGGTATGCATGTATGCTACTTTTGTGTTTCAGTCAAAATCCCTGCAGCGTGCTTTCCCAACAATTTGTAATGCTAATCTTGAAGTATATGGTATATACCTACAAAAAATGTTCAAAGTTATCACATTTGCATCAACCGAAGTATATAACTTGCAGTTATGTTCTCTGCTATGTCAGCCAACAAGTCAAATACAGGACACTGTTGACTAGAATCAACTTACTGAACCATCGTTTAATTTGCTCTTTGAAGCACCGAGTCTGATTTGACGACAGACCAATCATCCTAGATTCTGATTTGTGTCCATTTTGGATCCAGTTGGCCTCTCGCCTATCTTGGGAAATTCGTCCCTGTGCCTGTCAGGCCTTTACAGAGCTACTTCAAGCATTGTTCTTGTCGTAGAGGACCACACCGAGGTAATTCACGAGTATATGTCTAGACAACCGATCGTTTCCCATTGAGTATCTGTATTAATAAGCAGCTTACACCAGTGCCTACGTGCATTGCGTTGCATGTTGCAGATGAAGAGCAAGGCGGCAAGAGCTGAAACTTGGCAGGTACGCCCGCAAGTGCAGCACTGCAGATCAAAGGGCGTTTAATTAGGAAAGCGCACCTCCCCGGCGTCTGTTTGAGCAGTGTTTTCTGAAGCAGCCACAGGCTGCGTCACTGAGCCAGGCTAGATGCTCAGCAGGAGCTTCAGCTGAAGCAACAGCCAGGGCGTGCATTACCCCTACATATATATGCAGATGCAGACGCATCCAGAGAGAAATAAGAGAGACCCGGCTTTTGGTGCGAGGTGCATCACTGCAGAAGATCGTTATACCCGTGCTACCGCCCTTCTAATTCCTCGCAAATTATGTTGGAACTAAACCTACATTCCCAATGGTTTCCATCGAATTGAACTATTAGAAGACAGTGGCTTGGTTATATTGCGAACTGCAGCAGTTGTACCGCGCGGCTTGTTCTGCGTTCTGTGTTCTGCGTCGCCGTGTTGTACTGGAGACCGGAGAATTAACGAATATTCGCGATCCCGGTTCCGGGAGCCTAAGAGGAATGCACAGTGATGACTGATGAGGCAGGGGTCTAAGCATCAAAACATGCATCCTCCGTTCCTCCACCGTTGCAACTTGCAAGCCCGCGCGCGCCGGCACCAGCCAAAGGGCGGGACCGGGACTGCAGCCTGGAGAAGAGGGCAATCCCGGCGTCCTCCCGGGGCCCAACGCCATGCCACGACGCACCCGGGACCGGGGAGCACGAGCTCATGGGTGCAGAGCCCCCTGGCCCTTCTCCTGATGCGCCGCGCTTGGCTACTCATTTGCTCAACGGCTTAACGCCCCTCGCTCATCCACGGAGGGCAGTGCTAGAGGCCGGACGGCCGGATGTCCGTGCCTGCACTCCGTCGCCCCCCGCACATCTGCATCCCGTGCCCGCTACACAGGCCCGCGTCGCCTCACGTGGGGAGTCTCCGCTCGCGCCCCTTCGCTTCTCACATGCATGCACGCGCCTAGCAGCTGCAGCGGGTGGCTACGCCAGCATCCATAAGAGGGGGAGGGGCAGCAGATGCCTAGCCAGCGCTGGGAGGAGCAGGAGGAAACATCGAGGCGAAGGTGAGGCACCAGAAAAGCGAAGACAGAGATGCAACACCCGATCTACTTTTGAAATATTCGGATGCAACACTTACCACATACGTCTGAAGGCAGATGAAACACATGAAACACGCATCTGAAACACTAGCTGCAACACCAGATCCACTTTTAAAACATTAAGATAAAACATTTGCAACATACGTATAAAACAGCTGAAACACTCGAAACATTCATTTGAAACACTTGCAAAAAAACACCTTAAAACACTTCATATGTGTGAAAACATATGCAGCATCCAAATGAAACACTTGCAAACATACGTCTGGTAAATAAGATAAAACATTTGGAACAAACACTTGAAACATACGTGTATAGCCACTGCAACATGTGCAACATTCCGATCTACTTTTGCAACATCTAGATGAAACATCTGAAACACTTGAAACATACTCTTGCAACATCGTCTTTGCTTGCACGAATGGAGGCACGCCGGCGCGGAGGTCGATGGCGGCGCATGGACCTCGCTGTGCGGTAGCGGCACGGGCAACTCGCCGGCGGGCATGGCGTCACCCGAATCTCGTCCTCCTCGCCTGCTTGCTGGAGCATCCGTTGTGAAGGCTTGCCGGCTCGGTGCAGGCAACCACGGCTCGCCAGCTCGATGTAGGCGGTCGCGGCGAGGTGGAGGCGGGCAAGGCAGACTGGGCCCGATGAGGAATGCAGCGCAGAGGAGGCAACACGGGGAGGCAGCGCGGAGGAGGCCGCAAGGGATGGGGTGCGGCGCGGACGTGACGAGCAGATAGAGTCACCGATCAAGCGCCGTGTGTGGGAGTGAGCGGAGGGAGGCGTCTTGTTAGAGATAGCAGCGGGGATTAGAGAGAATTGGGAGGAATCAGAGCAGAGTAAGACGGAGGAAGAAGATGAACAATGGGATGACGGAGGAGTTCTCTTAGTTTAGGGAAATAGAATTCGGTTTGACAAAAGTTGTTTCTCCCCTCTCACACGACTCTCTTAACGATTATAGAGGCAGAGCCCCTTGTCACGCACGCAGGCGTCCTTAGCCGGCCCATTCTCCACCGTAGTACTTGGGGTTCGCCTTCTTGGGCCTCTAAAAGCCCTAATTTGGCTTTGGATAATTGATGAAACCTATGCACTAACATTTGTCATGAGATGTGATATGAGCTAGGTTGGTGCATTCCAAGTGAGGAGCATGGTGGCACTCAAAGTGATGGTGATGATCACATGAAATGATGAGATAGACACATGTGATGATGATCAAGTGCTCAACTTGGAAAAGAAGAAAGAGAAAAATAAAACCCTATGGAGATCAAGGCAAAGGTAAATAGGGGTATTGTTTCGGTGATCAAGACACAATAGAGAGTGTGGTCACATTTAGGATAGATGGCCGTACTATTAAGGGGGGTTCTTAACTAGACATTTCGGTTATCTAGTGCCACTAGGTGTTGGACTTCATGCATTGCATTTAGGCCTAGTGCACATCGGAGAGCAAACGAAAATATTTATAAAAAATGTTTTGAGAAATGCTAACTTGGCACTAACATATTTTGAGAAAACACTTTGAGAGTTAGCATTGCTTGTGGAATGTTGCTCTAAGTTGTCATGGAACGAAACGCGAAAAGTTTGCAACTTGGGGAAGGGCTTAGTGCCTAGGTGGCACCTCCACCCTCTGTCTGGTGGCACCGCCACCCATAGGGCGGTGCCCACCTGGGCTCGGTAGAGAAAGGCCGAGAGCGGCTAGTTTGGGGTGGTCACCGGACACACCAGTGTACACCACCTCGGGTGCGGCGGTGCACCGCCTGGTCACCGCCACCGGGTGTCTGGTGCCACCACCGTTTTTCTCCAGAGACAGGCGCAAGTGAGGGAGGTCACCGCCACGGTCACCGCCATGGTGACAGCGATGCACCGCCCTATTTTTCCAGAGAGGGCCGGTTTCAGGGACTTGGCTGGGATGGTCACCGCCACCCCTAGGGCGGTGCCACTGCCATGGCTTGTCCGGTGATGAATGGCTAGACCGTTGGGGCACCACCACCCCCAGGACGGTGTGCCACTGCCGTGTCCGGTGCCCCCACGCAGACAACCCCAAAGGTAACAACGGCTCTATTTGCTTATGTGGCTATAAATAGAGGATGTGGCCGGCCTTGGCCACTCTCTTGGCACCTCTTACGCTTGTGCACACCCTTTAGAAGCTAAGCAACACACTCCACTCATTTGTTCACTTGATTTCATCATCTTGAGTGAGATTGGAGAGCCTCTAGTGCATTGCATTGAGTTGCATCATCTTGTGGCACTAGTTGGGTGATTTGGGTTGGTTATGAGCTTGTTACTCTTGGTGTTTGCCGATACCTAGATGGCCCGGTGATTGGAGGATCGTTGAGCGGAGTTGGTGATTATCTCCGGCCTCGATCGGTTGCTTGTGAGGGGTCTTGTGCCTTTCCCGATGGAGCGCCAAAGGTAACTCTAGTACATTGCTCGTGTCATTAAGCTACCTCACTTGTAGGTAGGTTCTTGTGGTGTCCAATTGTGTGGACGAGGTTCATGCAACACATCTTAATCGTCAAACCACCAAGTGTTGGTCGACACTGTCGACACAGAATTTCGTCTTATGCCGAGGGCACACAAGCAAGCCAGAAGGGTCCGCTCGATGGAGCTGGAGATCCGCCTAGCTTCAGTGCAGGGATGGTCGATCCTGCGCACTCCTCCCGAGACGTGCCAGTCAATTTGACCCTGCAATTGACAAGCAAAGAAAGTTTATCAGTAATTAAGGGCGGAACGTGCCGGTGTTGCCAGACAGTCCCGAATGTGCGGCTCTGAGAGCCGATATGAAAGGAGATCGACTAAATAGTCGATTCCAACATATTCATAAGAATGAATCAATTAAAGCTCATGGGGTTGTGTAAGAAGAATCGGTTATCGTTCAGGATGAATATCGTTATTTAGACAAATATTGGTCAATGTCAATAAGATATTAACAATGATTAGTTTATACTGAGCCAATGACTGCAAGTAACCGAACACCTTTTATAAAAGAAACAATTCATCATCATTCAACCATTTAATAGAGATAAATCTAGTGAACATATTAGATCTCATCTATCGCTATGACCAGTGGGGCATGAGGCAGAATCATGCATACCGTAGAAATAACAATAGACTCGACGACCCTAACTTATTACTAATATCAGTGGGGCATGAGACAGAATCATGCAGGCTGTAATACAATAATAAGATTATGGGGCTAACACATCTTTCAACCTATCGCTACTTCAACGGTCTCGTGACGTGAACTGTTCGTGAAAGCACTCGATATCGGCTAAAACAACCGATTCAGGCATAACGCACAGTTAAAATCATGCCGTCTCAAAAACAGATCTACCAAATAACGATCCCCACTCCGTGGTGCTAACAGTGGGGTGTGAGGCAGAATCACACAGGCCATGGAACGGTTTTCGCTAGCCAATAGATCTACTCAAGATCAGACACGTCTTAACCGTACGCTATGCACGATCAAGATTGATATAAAACAGCCGATCAAACATAACTCATCGTTTAAAGTGCAGATTAGATCAAATTTAGATTAATAAACGATGGGTTAAACAAGATATAAGGCCGATCTAGATCAATCCCAATCGGACGAAGTGATATTGCTGTAATTAAATAAATAATAAAAGCAACAAGTAATATCGGTAACTTAATGAATTTATCCGAAGGAACGCCACCCTTAGATAGAGCCGATAACTTGACCTTAATCTAGTTCGAGCAATGGAGGTCGACCGGATCGATGCAGCCGTACTTGAACTAGACAAGAGTCGATAACTAACCTATACCAGAGTCGCAGTGGAGGTCGACCGGATCGATGCAGCTGTACGAACAGAGGTATAAGCCATGACGGTACTTACAGACAAGCAGTGGAGGTCGACCGGATCGATGCAGCCGTACTTGCTGA